GAGCTTGTTGCCCAGGAGGGCAGCCACAGTGTGAGCATATGCTGCCCTGACACCCTGTGCCTCCCTACACACTTGCCCCTGCTCTGCTGCCCTCACAGAAGGGACAGGAGGGCGTGTGCCCGGCCCCCATTTGCCCTGGCCCCCCATGACTGGCACGTGCGCACCCATCCCACCTGCCCCCAGGCTCCAGGGGGAGGGGGAAGCTTGTAGGCTGGCTTGAGGCAGATGCCTGAGTCTGCAAAGAGCCTGTGACAGGAGCCAGGAGGGGTGGGAGCTGCCCTGTGCCCCTCCATGCCTGCTGTCAAGTGCAGTTGTGACGGGCCTTGGCCTATGGGTGCTGCCCCTTGGAGCAGATACAGGCCCCGCTGCAAGGAGCGTGGGGGACCTCTTCATGAGGATCATGTCTGCCTCTGTGCTGGGGGGGGTAGGGAGGGAGGGAAACTGCAGGTACTACACAGGCCTTTGCCTATGCGGAAGGGGGCACCTTGCTACCACCCCTCCGAGTGGGGCAGGAAGGGCCGCGGGGTGGGGTGCACAGTGGGCCCGGCGCACCAAGGCTCTCCTCAGCCTCAAACATGTTCGTAGCCCCTTTATGGCACAGGAGCACCCATATCCTCACTGCTTGTGATTCCCTGGGCCCTTGTGGTTCCACGCTGCCATTCTTTGCAGTCACCAGCACGTGGTGGACTGAGCCCTAAGTCCAGTAATGGAAAGGGGTGACAGTGGCATAACTAGGGCGGGGTGAACAGGTCAATAGCCTCAGGTGCTGACTTGGAGAAGGGCAAAAAAAAGCAGCAGCTCCTGCAGTCACAGTTGTGATCTCAATGGCAACCGCAAGTCACTGCTGCCTCTGTACCCTGGGTGCCCGGCTGCATCTCTACGCTGCCGGGGCTGTAGAACAGCCCATAGGTGACTATCTGCCAAAAATGGGAACAGCCCTTGGTGTAGTTCTGATTTACACCAAGGACTGAGATAGCCATTGAACCAGTTCAGAATTCATGATTCACAGAGGTGGCACAAAGCCACCTGCATTCAACCCGTTCCCTCTCCTCCTGGGTTGCGCTTGCTGAGAGACGCAGCTTGGAACCTGGACGGTAGATGCTGAATTCAGTGAAGTTACTCGGGATTCTCTTATTCTTGAGAACTTGAGCTGACCCACAGGCAGGGCTGGTTCTATCAAAGGACTCCAACGAGTGAATTTACAGTGAGACTTTCCAAGCGTTTGTAAAATGATATAACATAATATAATTAAAAGCAGATCACTGATTCTCATCTCTCTCAAGAATATTTTCGTGGCATCGTAGGCTAGTCCAGCCTATTTCAGGGACAATAGTTTCAGTGTCCCCTGCTCCCATCCCTGCCACAAATGGGGAAAGGTTAAATAATTCCGCCCCTTATATTAAAAGCTAGCCAAAGAACTCTCCAGCATCGTGACTGGTGTGCCCTGATGTGCATGACGGCTGGCATAAGGGATGCCACAGCACTGGAAGGTTCAGGGCGTGGCGTATTTCCCCATGTAAATTGGGGAACATAAGCAGGATCCAACTTTAAATGTTTCTCACCTGGAACAGCGCATTGCTGGTCAAAGTGGAACCTTTCCAGCAGCTTTGGCCCATTGGGAGTCATTTAGTATTTCTTTAATAACATTTTGTAGGAAAAGTCTTAGGTTCAGAGACGTGAAATTCTGTTTTAAGAATAATAATTAACCCCATTTCTTTGAGGGATCTCTGTGGAATATTGGCCAGATGATTCCAACTCTTTCTCTGTAAATCTCCTGGATGGTGTTTGACTGCAACTCCTCTCAAATATGTGAAGAGTTCAGGCCATTCTCTTTCATCTGGAGTACAAGAAATTTCAGTAATCCAAATGGTAACAGATAGTGTCACAAATTCTGTAGGTCTGTAGCTAGAGGTCCCAGGTGTGAAGGCAGTATACATGTGTATTGGTTAATGTACAAGCTGAGATCCAGTGATGCCATTTGGACTGCTCATATGCATAAAGTTTTGTGTATGTATACACATGGACAGGATTGAGGCCTAAATTTGTGTGAGCATGTGCACGTACACACAACCGGAAAAAAAACTGGATCTCATAGAAACAAGGCAGCACTTTATCAACAATCTTATTTTTAAATAACATTTCTCTGGAGTTACAAATGTGCTTGTGGGGCTGCCCTTTTCAATGGGGCTTATATTAAAAAAGAAAACCATGGCAGATCTCTTTTTTAAAAAACAGCTGCACTGCAACCATCCTTTTTTTTTTTTTTTACATATTGATGGTAATCTGACAATGTCTAAGGTTGCAAGTCTACAACATGGACAGATTGTTGCTTGCTCCCTGGAAATCTATGAAATCCTATATCGCCATAGAGATCTTTTGGTCTGTATCACATGGCAGGACTGGGATGTAGGGGTAAACTATGCTTTCCAATATACACGTAAGGTTCCGGCTGAGGTTAATAGGAGTTGTGTGGTAAGTTGTACTCAGGCATGTGAGAAGATCACTGCCACTATGGCAAAACCCCTGGTGTGGATGCAGCCCAGTCAGCAATGCCATTAAAGCAACAAAAGCCCCCATAAATGTACATAATCTCAGTGATGCAGGGAATCACTTCCAGTCCTCTGTGCCTTGTTTCTCCAGTGTTGATACTGATTTAACATCAGTTGGTTTTAACTAAAGCACAATGTGTTTCACTAGAGCCTGTCTTCCAGAAAAACACTCATCCATGATATGAAAACATCAGAGCTGAGACATCCATCACCTCCCATTGCAGTTTCTTCCAGTGATCAATCACCTCCACTGCCACACAAAATTGTTCCTCCTTTTTGTTATACTGTTACTTGCTAGACAGACAAGCCTCTTGGCTCCCTATGTTTTCTCCTTGGGATGCTATGCCTTTTTCCCCTTTCATAACTCTTTTAGTAACAAAACTCAGGATACTTTTCATCCCCCTTGCTTTATACAGACCTTAAAATTGTGACTGGTATATAACCAGTGTCTGCTGTTTGCTGGGTGAATCTTCATTCTTGTTGCATTTTCTGTATGTATATGGTAGTAATCAGGAACATGCCTTATGGCCCAAATGGCCTGGCTCACTCTGGTGTCAACATATACTTCAGGAGTACCCATAACTTTCCCTTTAGATGGACGTGTGTTCCTCTGACATTATGCAAGGCTTATTTCTTGAAAGCCACTCCCTGGATCCATTAGTGAATGTTAATGGAGCACTCCCCAGTTACCAACTCATTAGTGGCCCTTGTCCCTTCTTCTTGCCATCTTTCTTTGCTGGAGTCCAGCTGCCCAGCAGGAGCTGGACTGGACTCTATTTTGTTCTGCTACTGATTCACTGTGCAATTTTGAACAAGTCACTTGACAACTTCCCATCTACAAAGTGGGAACCATAAGAATTATTTACCTTCCCAGGAGCATATGTGGGAATGAATGGAAGCTAGTGCAGCAGTTCAAGATCCTCAGGTGAAATGCACTACTGACACCACACTATTATGCCAAAAATAATGCTTTATATAGACCAACAGCTTTGCACATCACTTTCTAAACAGAGGAAGTCATTGATTCTAAAGACCTTTATTCACTTTATTGATTAATGCTATTTCCACCTTTGTTTTATTCATGTTCTCCTCCCCATAGTAAGTCTTTTGACAGAAATCACTGTGCTGTAGTTCGTAGCCAGAACCGATCTGAAGAAACAGGCTATTGGCCAGTACTGCTTGCTGAAGTCTCAGAGAATAAATCCGTAATCCATTGACTTTCAGGTCTATAGTCATTACAAGTTCCCTCTTTCATGGTGTGGCTGAAGCTTCAATCCTTCTCTCATTTTTGCTGCTGTTTTTTAATATCTTCCCCAGTGCTTCTTTATCCTGTAAGAGGTAAACCCAATCTGCATACAATATTTCAAGTGTGGAGGGCTCTTGTTATCATAGAATCATAGAAAGAAGGACTGGAAGGGACCTGTAAGATCAAGTCCAGCCCTCCGCCATGGGCAGGAGGTAATGGGCTCAAATGAACTCAGCAAGGTGCTTATCCAGCCTCCTCTTGAACACCGCCAGGGATGGCAACTGCACCACCTCTGCCGGAAACGTGTTCCAGATTTTGATTACCCGTATGGAAATGAAGTTTTCCCATATGTCTAGCTTCTTACTTCCTTGGAAGGGGGGCTGCAACAGTTCAAGGCTTGGCCATAACCACCAGATCCTTCTTAGGACCTTCATCTTTCCCCTTCCTCTGGGATGTGTTGATGTCCCCGGTTTTATAGAAAGCATCATAATTCTATTGAGCCAACAAGCTGGTGAAGTTTCTGGAAAAAACACACCCTCCAAAGGAGTGCAGTGGTAGTGAGACAATCCTGAAATGGTACTGCTATGAGCGTTCAGGATGTTTATCCAGGATAATAGCTGACAGGGATGCATTCAAATGTCATCCCATAATAGCTTCAGCCTAGCCAATACACTCATTGTCATGAGTTTCAGAGAAGATTTTTCTTCCCTGCTTGCAGAGCATGGAGGTGATGGTCAGGGAGAGAACCAACTTTTTGGCAAGGCTGCAGGTTGGGTGACATGAAGGATGTGCAAGTCTGGCATTATCAGGCTGGCTGCCCTTATCCTGATCCTGTCCTTAGTGTTGCCAAGCAATGCAAAACTTGCCTGCT